GAAGCACGATTGGTACTCCGGGAACTTTTGCAGTGTTAACGGATGATCCGTGGGCTGCCACGTCAGTGAGTTAGTTATGGTAAACTGGAATCCACGGTGCATTAGGTAGGTAAGCAGGCGAGCAGTGTTCTTAGCATCGTCAAGGCCGCAGTGAGCACGGCCTTCCCAAGTGAGGCCAGCCAGCTGAACAGCTTCTTTCAGGTTGCACTTCACCCCTCCAAATACCTCATGGAATGGGATCTTCAGATTGATCCATCTGTAGATGGAAGAAAGCCGAACATATTAGTTCCATTCGACGGGTTGAAGCATAGAGATACAAAACACAAATAATAAATACTAAAGAAAAATTTTCAAACTCATAAACAGCAGAGACGCATTAGTCCTACTTTTAGAATTGTAAACTTCGGTACTGCTTTGTCACTGTTCTTGTTTTGCAAAGACGATAATATTTGACAAGAACAAAAGTAAATTTCTTTTGACTAGTTTGACTCCAAAAAGAAGTTCCTGAAGAAAAAAAAAATATATATATATATGATATTACCACACTTTAACTGACTTTCCTTGAGGCGTTTGAATATCCATATAAGCTGAGCAAAAAGACTAGAATTTTCAGTCAACAAAAGGAACACGGGTGACTCCAACTTTCTAACGATCTTGACAAACGTTAGAGAGAGAGAGAGACAGAGAGCAATCTCAACAGGTGAAAATGAATTCCTACTTAAGTATGACTTCAACAGATTACCAAAAATTAAGTCCTGCTCTTATAATCCACTAATTTCAGACTCCAGAAAGGACAAAAACAATCCAAACCTCGCAGAAAAGAATGAATACTTTTCTAGGATATCCAACGGCCAAACAGCCCCTTAGGAAAAAGATGCTAATGATATTTTAACTTTAGTTTTTGTTTCTCGGAGCAACAAATAATACCTGTTGAAGTATGGTGGCTTTTGGATCCTTTTGAATCGACACTCAGATTCCAGCATCACCCGACAATCCCAATTTGACCACGTAACCACAACAAAGTTAGTTCGCTTGACCCCCTTTTCTTCAAGCCACTTATCATGCAGAAATAGAGCCTCACTCAAGAGAACGCCTTTGTCAACCTGGATCCGATCAGATTACTAAGAAGTTAATAAGTAATAATGTTCACTCCTAAAATGAGTTAGAAGAGAATCAGTTTGGAACAAATTATCCCATTAGAGAACTTCATTTGAAATCTCTAGAAAGCATATAGATCTATTTTCAAATATCAGTACATCTTTCTAGACGTAAAGCAAGCAAATCCATGGAGAAAACCATTGGATATTGGCCTCGACGCTACTTCTATTCTATTAGAAAGGAACCTAGAA